CCAGGACTTGGGGACTGTGCGTATGTGTGTGGAGGGGATGGGTATGTGAGCGGGGGTAGATGCCTGCCAATGCTGGGGGAAGTTGGCTGGGCGCTAGGGCTGTGGAGGGCAGAGGCATGAAAAGGTGCCTGCCCATCCAGCAGGGAAAGGGCAGAGGGGTCCTTTGGGGGTGGCAGGGAGCTGCATGGCTGGGCCAGCAGCTGGGACCAGTGCCCGTACTTGCAGGGCAGGGGCAGCCAGGAGATGCTGCCTAGGCAGAGGGCCAGGCTGTGGCCAAGCCACCTAGTGCAGTGCAGGTGCCCCAGCCCAGATTGCAGGGTGTCACAGGCCTCCTCTATTCCTCCCTCCAGGCTGCACCAGGGCCGGATTCACTCTGCCACTGCCTGCACAAGCTAGAGCCACTGTAGCTGCTGCACTCCAGCCCGGTTGGGACAGGGGCAGCAGGAGGTCCCCTCCAGCAGGGCTGGGGGGAGCAGGGGGCTGTGGGTTGGGACTGAGGGGCAACAGGGTGGAAGGGGACTGTGAGTTGGGAGTGTGGGGCACTGGTAGTGCCAGGGGGCTGTGGATTGGGAGTGAGGGGCAGCAGCATACCCCAGGGGAGCAGGGTAGTGTGGGTTGGGAGTGAGGGGCACTGGCAGAGTCAGGGGGCTGTGGGTCAGGAATGAAGAGCACCAGCAGGGCTGGGACGGGGGGGAGCTGTGGCTTTACTTTTGTTTTACATTTGATTTCTGAGGGAATAACGCTTGTTATTTACTATAACAGTTAGAAACTGCTCCTCACACCTTAGGCAGGTGTCCTCTTTTTTTGGAACTGGAAATATGGTAACCCTAGTGATCTCTCTAATGCCTTTGGCAGCACCCTCCTCTTCTGCAAGGGCAAGGCTCACTCACTTGCCCGTTCTGCTAAAGAATATGATCAATCCAAAGCTAGACTTTGGGTTACTAAACTTCTTCAGCATTCCCTTTATCTGGAGCCTGATTATACTCTCATACCTTTCTTGAAGTTTGCTTCTGAGACTGCAACTCTTCAGGTGACTCAAGAACTATACAGTTCAGTCCTGTTAAGTGAGTTGAGATGTGTGAGCTAACAGTGCAAAAACTACAACCAAACCTCAGAAACTTTTTTCAAAGAATGTTGACACGTTTCTTGAGACATGAAGTATGACTTCAGAGAATCATGAAACTGTAGGGTGTGTTCATCTGTTGGAAGAAGTCATAACCAACAAATATCAATGGGTCCTAGAACAGCATAGCATTCTTTGATAACTTATAAAACTTTCCAATCTCACCTTCAGGTGGCGTATGTTTAAAAATACTGGTATATTTTTCACAAGTACACATTCCATATCAATCAGCTGAAAATCATTAGCAGTTTGCCTGGTGTTGTATCTAATACAAGTAATACAACCAGTGTCACAAATCTCTCATCCCATCATAGGTTTTGTCTTGTACCATACATTGTGTTGTCCAAGTTAAGACATCATTTCCAAAATTTGTTTTGGGGGTATCTGCACAGAAGGCTATGCAGTTCTCAATGGTTTCTTCCACGTTGTGAAAAGTAGACCTGTGAGAAGCAGTTAATATTCGCTTTGGATTCAGATTTGGCCGATTCGGGGGACAGCGATTCAATCTGGTGATTCTAATCACTGTCCCAAATTGATTCAGCCGAATCTGATTTAGAGATTCAGCTGCTGCTGAATCGGCCGAATCTCCAAATCGGCCCTATCCCCTGTCCACTCTCCCAGCCCCACCATGGCTGCCCTGCCCGGCCCCAGCTCCCTGCTCTTTGAAAAAAAAAGCCTGACACTCACTGGCTGCTGCCAGGTGTGGGGGGGAGATCCCCACTGCCCCCCACTACCCTACGCTGCATGGGGGCTGTCCCATGAGCCCCCAGAAGCCCCGAAGCTGCTGCAGCAACCGGGGTGGGAGGTCAGGGGGGCTCACGGCAGAGCCTCCCACACAGCACAGGGCAGGGGGGAGCAGTGGGGATTCCCCCCCGGCTGGCAGCAGCCGGTGAGTGGGGGCTTTTTTTTAAAGAGCCAGGAGCTGGGGCCAGGCAGAGCAGCCATGGGGGCACTGGAACAGTGGGCGGGGTCGGGGGCTGCTCAGCCAGGGGATGGGGCCTGGCGGGTGTCCCCCCATGGTCCCCCTCCAGGCCTCCCTACCCCACCCCTTATTTACCAGCATGGAGTCTGTGTCCAGCTCCCTGCAGCAGCGAAAGGGGACTGCTCAAATCTCCAAAACTCTCTGAATCATTTCCAAATCGATTTGAAGAGCTTTCAATCAATTTGGATCTTTTAATTGGTCTCCTGATTCAATTCGGATTTGGAGAGCTGAATCTCCTCCTAACTGAGTCAGCACCTGAAGCTTTGCACAGTCCTAGTGAAAAGCAATTCACAAGAGTTTCATTATTTCCTCTTGCAGACTGGCAAGCTCCAGTGACTGTGTTTTGAGTGTCATTGAAAGGATAAGTATCACACAAGAAGTGGATCCATTTTGGACATGCTTGTGGGTACATGTATCCAGGGGAGATTCCAGGCAGGTACAGAGATGCAGTTGCATCCCCCCTCTTCGACTCCACTCAAACTTTAAAACCAGCTGCCTGGAAAGGGCAGTGGCATTTCTATTCAGGCAGTGCCAAGACAGTCAATTGACTTCATGGCTCATTATCATCTCCCTGACTCCTGCTTCTGCACTCCACAGGTCTTAACGACCCTTTGTCTTTTTTAAGGGGCTTGATGTGCCACTATTCGAATTATCTTTTCTTCTGCAATTTTTCTGTCTGTTGGCCATTCCTGGTAATGTCTCTCTTCTGTGTCACAGCCCTGCAGGCTGTTTTAACTCTAGCTAAAAACCTTAACTCAGGCATGGTAATATTAACTTAGATGTAGAAATGACTTATAGTAAAGTATTGGAGGCGCTATCAAACCATTATAAGAGATCACAGAATGATAGAAAATGAGGATTGGAAGGGACCTCAGGAGGTCATCTAATCCACCCCCCTGCTCAAAGCAGGACCATCCCCCAAGTAGATCATCCCAGTCAAGGCTTTGTCTAGTGGGGTCTTAAAAACCTCCAAGGATAGAGCTTCTACAACCTCTCTAGTTAACCTGTTCCAATGTATTACTACCCTCCTACTGAGAGAATTTTTCCTAATATCCAACCTAAACTTTCCTTGCTACAGCTTGAGACCATTACTCCTTCTGTTATCTGCCACCACTGAGAACAGTCTAGCTCCTTGGAACAGTGTAGCTCTTTGGAATCCCCCTTCCAGTAGTTAAATTCCTGCTCAGAGTCTTCTCTTCTCCAGACTAAATAAGTCCAGATTCCTCAGCCTCTCCTCACAAATCATGTGCCCCAGCCCTCCTAACCACTTTTGTCGCCCTCTACTGAACTCTCTCAGATTTGTCCACATCCCTTCTATACTGGGGGGCTGAAAACTGGACACAGTACTCCAGATGTGGCCTCACCAGTGCCAAATAGCGAGGAATAATCACTTCCCCAATCTCCTGGCAATGCTTCTAAGGCAGCCCAGTATGCCATTAGTCTTCTTTGCAACAAGGGCACACTATTAGCTTATATTCATCTTATTGCCCACTGTAACCCCAAGGTCTTTTACTGTATAGCTGCTGATTAGTGAGTCAGTCCCCAGACAGGATTCAGGACACAATGTCTTTTAGCTATTTTGGCTATTTTTTGTAATTTAGTATTTTAAAATGTAATATGTAATCTAGCAAATGAATACACACTCCAATAGTTATATTTGTTTTTGCTTTGAATTTATACTGAATAAAAGAGCACTACCCCCATAGCATATTAGTAAAGCTACTAGTTTCTCTTTAATTGGAGAAAAATCTGTGTTGTGTTGTACAGAATGATGTGCCAGAACATCTGCACCCCACTTTGCAAAATCCTAGGTCTGTCCCTGGATGTGTCCATGGCAGGAACATCACTTCTCTTCTCAGGAAAAAGCCAGAATTTAGTAGAGGAGCCAGTATGCCACTTGCATTTATTCTGCTTTTAGTATGAGATTAAGTTGAAACATCTTCTTTCCTAAATTTGTGATTCAATTCCCCTGACTTGAAGTTGTAAAAGAGCCAATGTAATCATACTGGCCCAGCGAACCCTTCTTTTCTGACAGAAAAACTTGCTGTGACCCGCCAATTTGTTTTTAAAGAATGGTTGACCCTTGCACAACTATAATTTTTTAGCAGGTTTCTTTCTTCTGTGTAACATACCTGCCGGCAATATGTGGAAGAGCTGACGTCCACAAGACTGTGGGGTCATCTGCATTTTGTCTGGCCTTTGGGAACTGCCTGTTCCATCTGGCTACACTGGTCCTTGAAAGTCATGTCCTGATAACGCACATGATGGTTTAGTCCATGATACCATAAATCCGGACTGAACAGCACTAAACAACAGGCAGGTAACATCTTTTTTGCTGGGGAAGGAACTGGAACGCGCTAGGAATGAAAGGGGTTCAGGGGATTCATAATGCCAAGGGAACTCGTGTGACCAGACACATTTCATAGACATGAGGGCTGGAAGGGACCTCGTGACATCATCGGGTTCAGCCCCCTGCCCCAGGGGCAGGATGTCAGCTAGGGTCAAAGGATCCCAGGTAAGAAGACCATGGTTTACAGCAGAAGAGGAAGCAACTGTCTGAGTGTGAATCGCACAAAGTAAGGCTCAGAGAGGGGCAGGAAGGGAGATCAGGCTTTCATGCTGTCACAAAGGGAGATGGATGGCACTGAAAGAGGCTGTGGCAGAAAATTAGAGGGAGAGAGGTAGTTAGTTGCCTTAGTCTGAAGTCAAGTAGAAGGCATGGTAGATTTGCACCTTATACAGTTACCAAAATAGTGTGTGTGTTGGGGGGGGGAGGGTACAATACAAGCTGGAGGGCAGAAACGAGAAACCTGGAGGACGGGGCTGGACATAGAAAGCAACGGTAAGGGTTACATATCAACCCTGCTCTCCGGCTCTGAGCTCCGACGCAGCCAGCGGCAGCTTTCTCTCGGTGTCCGCCAAGAAACCCTTTCCTCCCGCGGCTGGAGGCGGCGGCGGCACGGGCCGGGCCGGGCGATGTCGGCAGCGAAGGTGCTGCCCGCGCAGGAGCCGGGAGCGCCCTGGCTCAGGGGCTGGTGCGGGCGGGGGCGAGGGGCAG